TGTTTTTGTCTGGGTGGTAGAACATTAATATGCCTTTCAAATATTTTTTCTTACATGTATTTTCTTAATTTTTGTTTATTGCTTTTGCAATGAGAAACATATAGCAAATATGTTTTATTTAAAATTATACCTGTTGTATCTCTCAATTTTTAATTGCACTTACATTTAACTCTAACGTTGTTGGTGTTCTTCCTGTAAGCAGCTGCAAGTCCTTTGTGGAGTGAGGTAGGGAATGAATGCCTGTGAACACGGATAAGAGAGTGAATGGATCAGCACAGCACCTCTTGGAGCAGGAAGGCAACTCCAGAGAATCCAGTGGACTCTCTGTTCCCCCATTTAAATGAGATCCTATCTGGTCACCTCTTTGCAAGCCAGCAGGGCCAGTCCCATCCCCAGGAGGTATTCTGGTGCTTCTAGGTCAGGAGATGTAGTTGGCTTGCTCTCAGGAGGGGTTTCTCAAGAGTCAAAGGCTCAGACCCTTCTCATAATTCCTAGATCCCTCAGCCTCCCCAGATGGGCCCAGCTTGTCCTAAAGAGAATACCATTGTTGCTTACCCTCAGGGGCTCACATCACATCACACTGCTTCAGCCCCCCCTTTCCAGTGCTGCCACCCCTACATGATGCTCAGGAGTGCCATCTCTGCCTCTACCTTGCTGCCGAAATATTAGTGACCAGCCCTCTCCTGAGCAAAGAAATAAGCTCTCTCCCAATAGCCTCTACACTCTAGAGACACAAAGGCCCCATCCCAGGGCTTCTCCCATACAGGAAAGAAGTTGATGTGTCAATCTTCCATGGCAGCAGGACAGTCCTGTTAGATTGGGAGACTCAAAATGACAAAATAGGGTGAAACATACTCAAAAGGCTTTGAGTAGCACAAATGAACTCTCTACTAGTTGTTGAGCTACAGTAAATTATTGCCTAGGGCCCAAGGTTGAAAAGTTCTTTTTCCCCCAAGAAAAATCAGGCTTTGGTGTATAAATGTGGGTCAAATGTACGATTTATTTAAAAAGCACCAAGTCTGTCCCATATGCCATGTAGAGTAATAGGCTCCCTCAGGTGCTAACCATGCGATAGCAGGATTGCCTGTATAGCAGGATTGCCTGTAATAGAAGACAAAATACTTTACCCCAAAAGCAAATAAAGCACACAGTGGGATTTCTAAATAGAGAATATTTCCATTTGGTTGGGAAGATCAGATGAAGAGGACTTTTGAGATGGATGTAAAGGGAGGACTGAAATTGTTTCTTCAGGTAATGAAGAAGGCACTGTAGGCGAAGTGAACATTACACTGGAAAACAGTTGTTGGGCATCTTCATAGACACTCAGGGAGCAGCAAGTCTGATGTATTTGAAAGGCATGGGGATAACAACAGTCACAATGACAATGAGTGTGTGGAGATGAATCATGAGGCTTCAAAGGCACTTTGAATTTATGAGGCACTTGATAAATATTTGACCAATCAAAAAACTTCAACACTGTTTTTGATTTAAAGTCTCACCATAACCAACAAAGAAGTTCCAAGCGAACAATAAACCCAATGTAGAAAGGGTTTTTGGAAAACCGGTGCCTTTTTGTACTTTTTTCCCCCCTCCTTAAAAAGAACTGTAAAATGGAACATTCCTTTTAGTTAGCTAAATTTGCTACTTTTTTTAGTTTTCTAAAAAATATATTTTTGCTATTTTTGTACTGGGGGGTACATTGTGACATTTACAAAAGTCCTTACAATATATCATAGTTGAATTCATCACTCCATAATTCCCTATATGATTCCTTTTAATTTTTTTAACTTTTTATTTATTAGCATATAATAGTTGTACAAGGAGGATTCATTATGACATTTACATATATATCTTAACTTCACCCCCTCCATCATGCTTCCTCATCTCCCCTCCCCCCTTCTTAGAACAATTTCAACAGGGTTCATTGTTCTAGATAAATTAACTTTTGATATGTGCTTTAAGAAAATGATACAAGCTAGGCATGGTGGTACTCACTATAATCCCAGCAATGAGAGGCAGGAGGATCATGATTTCAAGGTCAGCCTGGGCTACACAGCAACACTCTGTCTCAAAAAGGAGGAGGAAGAGGAGAAGAAGGAAGGAGAAAAAGGAGAGGGAGAAGAAGAGGAAGGAGGAAGAGGAGGAAAGAAGAGAAATGGTATAAAAAATGAAAAAATTTAAGAATATTTGAAAATGAATTTTACTTAAAATCCAAGCATAACTAAAATGATAAAGATTTGGGGACTGATTAAACAAATGGTTACATTGTAATTTAATATAAATTACGCAATATGTAAAATACCTATTTGAAATACTTACTTGAAAAATACTAAATAAAAAGTGCCACAAGTAGCATTATGTATTGTTTATACATAGAAATTATGTCTATAAAATCTCTTACTAATTTAAAATGATAAAGACTGAAAGAGGTTATCTCTAACCTTGGGCAGGTAATACCTATGCTGAAGAGATTTTTGTTGTTTTGTTGCTTACACTTATGTTGAGTTTCTTTTAGTATATTCCTAGATCAATAGCCAATAAAAGATATTCTTTGAATTGAAGCCATGTCATAATTTTGCAAAAGGATGTAAGGTAGTCAATGTCTCCAAACAGATGATGGTCTCTAAGGAAATACTTTACTGTGTTATGGAGAATGGACTTGAGTTTCCTCCAACTCGGATTCAAGTTCTTTCCCATACTCTTAAATTTTTTCTACTTTTTCCATTCCTTATACCTTCTAATTCATACAATATTCAAGGAAAACCTACTAGTATAGCTGTTAATTATACTCTAGTTGAAATGCAAATAAGATTAGTCTTGCCAATGAAGGCTTGTGTGATATCTGTATTAAGGATCAGATACACAAATGAAAAACAAGGGAGACTTATGCCAAATGTGCAATGAGATGACTAAATTAGGAAAGATACAAAATCTGCTAACCCAGATATTAATATCCTACTAATATAACCTGTTAATATCTCCCTGGAAAAAGAATTCTAATACACATTTAAAACGGACAATGAGAAGTTGACATGTAACCTGCATCACTATTTTCTGGTATGACAATAAAATCAACATATGGTAAGCTATGTACAGCCTTGATGACCCAAAAGTGAAATTTGCTATACACTAGCTTTTTAACATTTTCCTTTTAGTATTCAGAAAATCTTGCTAGAGAATAACAATGACAAATCGTGAATGTAGTCTATTGGAGAGTAAGATGATGGTTTACATGATGTGCGCAACACCAAAAATAGCCAGAAAATGAAATCTTGAGCTAAGAAAACTTGTAAGATAAATTAATCTCCAGCACTAATCAAATTCAAGAAACCTAATTAGAGTGATGGAGCCTGATCTGCCAACCTGGCATTGGCTCAAAATGTGGTCAAGAGCATTAAGTACTTCAGTGTACAAAAATAAAGATTGTCTCAAAACCAGAAATGTAAGACATCATTATCTTCTGAGTAGTAATGCAAACTAGCACATGTCTCGTAGTAAATAAATGATTCCTTTTACTTTGAAGAAAAGAATTGAAGTTCTCTCCCACTGCCTTTGGTTTTTTGATAGCGTCTCGCTAGAGAGTCCAGCCTGGCCTCAAACTTTCCATCCTTCTGTCTCTGTCTTCTGAGTGCTGGGATTGCCAGAGTGTGAATCAATGTTCTTGAGAGCTTGTTTGGAGGTTCGAGCAGGGGGGCGCAGCTACTCATATTCCCTTGACCGAAGAAAGGTCCTCCTCTATCGGGGATGGTCGTCCTCTTCAACCGAGCGCGCAGCTTCGGGAGGGATGCACGTAGAGCAGTGAGGGAGGAAGGGGACACCAGCCTAGCCAGCCATTTGAGCCGAATCAACCCTGGCGATCAATGGGGTCACAGATGTTGCCAGATTGATTCACATCCTGAATCAATGTTCTTGATGCAAACTTCTTACAGTGGCTGTTTCTCATCCTTGCCCTCCAAAGAAAAAATGTAGTAAGTATATAATAACCCAGATAGTTAAGGAAGTATATTAAAAGAGAGTCAGATTGTTATCACAAACATGGTGAAAATGCTCTGTTCGCAGCTCTTTCATTTCCCAACTCCACATACCCTCTCTTGGGGTACCCTCATCCATACCCATACTTTCAAAGATTACATGTGCACCTATAATTTCCAAATTGCCAAGAGTCTTTGTTCACGGTCTTTCTTTCTTTCTTTCTTTTTATTGTTCATAGGTGCATGCAATGCTTGGGTCATTTCTGCCCCCTGCTCCCACCCCCTCCCTTACCACCCACCCCCTTGATACCCGGCAGAAACTATTTTGCCCTTATCTCTAATTTTGTTGAAGAGAGAGTATAAGCAATAATAGGAAGGAACAATGGTTTTGCTAGTTGAGATAAGGATAGCTATACAGGGAGTTGACTCACATTAATTTCCTGTGCATGTGTGTTACCTTCTAGGTTAATTCTTCTTGATCTCACCTTTTCTCTAGTTCCTGGTCCCCTCCTATTGGCCTCAGTTGCTTTTAAGATATCTGCTTTAGTTTCTCTGCATTGAGGGCAACAAATGCTAGCTAATTTTTTAGGTGTCTTACCTATCCTCATATCTCCCTTGTGTGCTCTCGCTTTTATCATGTGATCAAATGTTCACGGTCTTTCTATCCTCCTAGCAAATGACTTCATCATCTATTTTCATCAAGAAAACTGACATTCATTGATTGAGGCTAGATGTTTAGCTGGCACTGCCTCTAGAAAGAACAATTACCACACTTATGGCAGGGACTTCGTTCTCAGTAATTCAGAGGCCAAGAGGCAGTCTACAGGTATGTCAGCCTTCACCTGCAGATCATGAAAAATATGGTGTCAACCCACAAAACCCTCATAAACTGCAAAGGGTTACCAGAATAAAAGGTACAGAAAGATGTCCATATGGGAAAAAAAAGATATAATAACAATGCTTGGATTAAAAAAAGCGCACATCTCTGAAGTTCACAAGAAGATCCCTTCAGTGAATGCAAAACTGAAAATGGTTAAACACTTCATGAAAAGCAAGCCCCTGAAGCTGCCACAAGGACTTTCAACTGAAGAGAACGTGTCTAACATGTGCCTGAAGATCCCTGGGGATTGGTACTGCGACAGCTGAAGCTCTTGGAGCAGGAAACAAAGTCCTGATGTCAAAGCAACTTCATGTTAAAAATGCAAGTCTTTTTTTTTAAATTAGCATTCATTAATAGCACAAGGGGCTTCATTGTGATAATTCCCTGGATGCACATGTGTACTTTGAACAAGTTTGTCACTTCTATTATAGTTCCTTAAGAAAATCATTTTTCTTTAAAGTGGATGAGAAAGTGTTTTCATTAAATTGTTTTAAATCTTCTCCCCAAAAGAAGACTGACATCTTTAGAAAGTAGCTCTTATAACCATGACCCACTCCAAATACTAAGATTCATCTTTCCTAACTTGCTCTTGTGTAAGATCAAAGCCTTCATCTTGTTCTGACTTCATATTCCCCCATAGTATTCAGTTTTTCTCCCCTCCCATCCCTCTCTTCCCCTCCCCTTTCTTCCCCTCCCTCTCTTCTTGGTTTCTTTCCAGGGGTACTCAAATAGAGCTAAGCTAAATGTCACTCTGACTCCTCAAGATCTAGCTAAACTGGCTCAAAATCTGATGGCATGTGGAAGTCTAGCTCCTCCCTAAGATTTCTGAGACTTCTCAGGGGTTTTCAGTCATGGACTTTTCCAGCCCTCAGAGCAGCAGTGCTCGTGTGTGGTCTTTCTCAGCCCTCACCAGAATTTCCACAATAAAAACACTAAGACTGGAGAATTTAATTGTTGACTTCACTAAAGATGTCTGAGAGATCAAAGGGAAGGATGGTACTTGTCAGCACATACTTTCTGCCATCTTGGTCCCTCCACTCGCCATTCTCCCCATTCTCCTGCCTTTCATCCTCTTCATTTTGGGCAGCTCTGGGAATGAACAACTTAACCTGCTTTACAGTCCTGATGCCAGCTACTTCTCTCTCCACATTATCAGTTGCTGAGTTTCACCAGCTATTATTGTTTTGCAGCTTCTTAAATCTATCACTTTTATTTCTAGGCCAACATTTTTGTTCAAGTGTTTGTCGCTCACCCTTGGAACCACACCCTTGGTTTACCGTAGAACCACAGTGAGCTAACTTGGACTTGGGGTTTTAATTCTCTACCCTCTCTAGTAAATCCTGGATGCCCCTGAAAGATGTGTCTTTCAGGGTCTTCCTTCACCATGTCAATTCCAAGGTCAGAGTTCCTTAACAATACCAGTCTTTGCTCAATGAAGTCTCAATTGCTTAGCCTGGTACTTATGACTTTCCATAATCTGGTCCCAACCTAAATTTCCAGCCTTATGCCACAGTCCTCTGCCACCTGAACCAGTCAAACTGGTAGGTTCATTCTCTTTTGCATCTACTTGCACAGTCCTGCCTCTCTGCAACCCTGGAATGTGCTATTCCTGATTCTCCAGCTGAATTAATCCACTCATTGTCAAATCTTATCTCAAATATTCATTCATTCCTTTTCCAAGCCTTTCATGGTTCTCTCGGCCCATAGAAATCGAAACCTTTTGACTCAGTATTTCATTTCTTCTGCTTTGTACTCGGGTGGTAACTGCCTCTGTTTTCCCAGAACTGAGGGGTTTCTTGGGATGTAGGACTTTCAGTGATAAAGTGGAATGGTCCAGGGCAAACCAGAACATTTGGTCATTCTACCTGTAATATATATGACAAGGACCCTGGGGGCAGGAAGGAAAGCAGTGCTTTCTTGTGGCTGTCTTCTATGGAAACTCATATGGCAGGACTAGCCACAAAAAACTCCAGAGAGGGAAAAAGAAGAGTGAGAACACTTGTTAGATATAATAATTGGGCTGGGGCTGAGACTATCAAATAAGCACAGGACCAGAAAAAATCCTACTTTGCATCTCCTTCCTTCCTTCCTTCCTTCCTTCCCTTTTTCCTTCCTTTTAAAAGGAATTAAAAGTGAAGAGGAATAAAAAATACATTCCAAGTAAAGGAGTTTTAATAAGGATGGAAAGAATACAGCTTTCAAAACCAAGAGGAAAATCTAGATAGGTAAACAACCTTTTTTTTATTGTTACCTTGGAAACAGTCAGAATCAAAGGTATTCACTACTAGGAGAAATAAAAGAAACCCAGAAATTAAGGTCAAATTTCCTGGAGGTTTCCTGGTGCCAATTTGAAGTTCAAGATGAGTTATAAAGGAATGGTAAAACAGCAGCAAATTAAATAGTCAGAGAATTGTATTTGATATCTATAATATGCCTAAATTATTTTGCTTTAGAACATTAAAATTTGTTAGTGTTCTTTTTTTGGCAGGACTGGGGTTAAAAATCTGTTATGGGATGAATGAACTGAGATGAGTAATGTTCAAATAAGTAGTAAATACAACATGGACATGTTAAATGTAGATGCATGTTGAAAAGGATGAAATGGCAAAGAGATAACTAGTAATTATGAGGCATTACATGTATTTGAGGACCTGTATGTTAGTCAGCTTTCTGTCACTATGACAAAATGCCTGAGATAATCAACTTAAAAGGAGGAGAGATTTATTTTGGCTCAGTGTCAGACATTGCAGGCTATGGTCAGCTGGTCCTTTTGCTGTAGGAACTATGGAAACACAGAGCATCATGGCAAGGAGTGGGTGGTGGAACAGAGCAGCTCAGTTCATGGCAACTGGGAAGGAAAAAATAGAAAGAGAGAAAGAGGAAGGGGCCGACCAGGGTCCCAATATTCTATTGAAGGGCATGCCACCAGTGACCCAATTTCCTTCCACTAGATCCCATCTCACAAAGATTCCACCTCCTCCCAGTAGTGCCACCAGCTGGGGAAAAAGCCTTTACTAACTGAGGCTTTGGTGACATTTGATGTCCAAACCATAACACAGGTGTACGTAGCCTTGTCTAGTCTCAATAGAGCAGCCTTCTAGCAGCTTAGGCAACCTTTCCTTCATTTTGCTCAAAACTCAGTTCTGGGACTGGGAATTTAGTTCAGTAGTAGGGTGATTACCTAGAATGAGTGGAGGCCCTGGGGTCTGTCATCAGCACCTCAAAAACAAATGAACAAACAAAACAAAAATCCCAACGAAACCAACCCACCTTAATTCTGGTTCTAATAACTACACCATGGGCAGGGAAACTGATGGAGCGACAGAGAGCAGTAAGATGCATGAATACTGTGTCCCCACGAGTTCACCCTGCTTGCACCCAGTCCAAAGCCCAGTAACATGCCTCACTTCCATCCCCTGCTTCTCAATGGGTTTTAATGAACGTTAATGACTTAATGAACTATGCAATCTGAGTATTTTAATAAAGTTTAAGAGTCTTTTTGCAGGTGGAGTCCACACTCAGAAGACTTCTAAATACTTTGTATCTCACAGGGAGGAATCCATGGCAGGACATGTGGGTGTAAATGGAATTGATTAAAAGTTAGGGAAGAGAAATACAAAGGGGAGCCTGGTGAGCCCAGGTGGAATCTGGACGCAGAGAGTGCGTGCAGCTCTTCTCCATGTGGTTTAAAAATTTACACTAATCTATGGGAAGGGAGGAATCAGGTGATTTTCATCCAATCACCTGATTGGAAGGGAATGGGTGGTTCCCTGGCCAGGTGAGGGCAGTCCCTAAGCCAGAGCATGGTTAATCTGAGTTGTAATATTTTCTGAGACCTGAACTTTCCCTAATTTTAGCCTGCCTCATTTCTGTTGTCTGTGATAGCTTTCTTACCAGTAGACTTGGAGCCATGTAGCATCTACATAACTTCCTGCATGACATGATTTTTTAAAAAAATGTTCTGTCTGCCACGAAGGCGTTCTTTCTCTAATTGACATTGTGTTAGTAAGTAACTATTCACTTTGATAAATAAGTTATATCCCGAGGCTTGAGACAGCTCATAATAAGCATTTTAATAATAATGCTTTAAATAATTTATCTTTGTCTACACATTTGTGGCTTAGTTTTGATTGCTCAGATTATTTATAAGGTGATGATACTGTGGTTGGGCATGCTTCTTTTCCTCTACTTCCCTCCCTCCCTCCCTTCCGTCCTTGGAAATACAGCAATAATGACTAATTACTGTATTCCTGCATTTCAAAGTGAATGCTGTGGAGACGAGTTAACTAGCCACATACTGAATAAGTGTCCACAACGGTAACAACTTTATGTGGCTGAGAGTAAAGATCCACAGACACTGTTAGACTTCTGTGTAGGCAAAACAGTAGCCAAAGGCTTTCATAGCTCTGAAATTTCCGTCCCTGGCTCCCATTACAGTCATCTCCTTCAGATTGGGTTCAATCTCTAAAAAGTTTAGTAAATAACTCATTCAACAAATATTTATTTAGAAACACCTGAGTTTCAGACTCTGGGTGATGATCATAAAACTCCTGCCTCTTGGAGCTTACATTCTAGTAGGAAATGTAGATAATATGTAAGTAGTCAAATAATATAATTTTCCATAATGATCATACTAGTGGGCTTTCCATTACTTAGTAAATACCTGAGATAAGTCAATTTATATAAAGGGGAAGGTTATTTTGGCTCACTGTTTTGGAGGTTTTCCTTCTTGACTGATTGGCCCATTGCTTTGGGCCTGTGGTATATACCATGGCTGGAGCAAGTGGTACACGAAAGCTATTCCCTCATGGTCAGGAATGAAAGACGAGAGAAGAAGGAGCTGGGGTCATATTACCCCCTTCAAGGACACACTTCCAATGACCTAAGACCTCGTGCTATGGCTCATCTCTTAAAGGTTCCACAACTCTCCATAGTACCACTCAGAAGAAGCCTTTAACACATGGGCCTTTGGGGGCCATTCCAGATGCAAACTGTAACACTAATAATGATTTAATGAGCAGTTTAATGGTGAATAAAATGGTTCCTATGTATGTACATATTGGTGTAGGGTATATCTAGTCCTACATTTTTTTTCAATACTAGGGATTCAGGCTTGCTAGGAGAGCACTTTACCACTTGAGCTATGCCTATAGTCCTTTTATTTTTATTTTATTTTCAAGATAGGGTCTTGATAACTTTGCCTGGGCTGGTTTAGAACTGGTGAGCCTCCTGTCTCTCCTTCCTGAGTAGCTGGGATTACAAGAATGTACTACCATAACCAGCTGCTGCAATCATTTTGCCAAAATAATTCATTGGAATTTATTCGTACATTAACACAGTTTCATTTGTGAGATTAATTGACTGACTGAAAATATGGCTTGGCAAAAAACAATAGAGCTATTTATTTATCTATTCATTTATTTTTGAGACAGGGTCTCATTATGTAGCCCAAGCTGGCCTGGAACTTTCAATTCTCCTGCCTCAGTCTTCCCAGGACTGGGATTACAAGCATGCAAATAGAGCACATTTGCTTTGTTTTGTTGGGGGAAAGGAGCTAGAAGTTCTTGACTATGGATTGTATGTCATAATGGCACTGAGAAACTTGATTTCATTGAAGAAAATCCAAAGTTTCTGTGATATAATCAAATAAGTTTCAGACTCATTAAAGAACTAAATATTAAAGAAATAAATAGAAGTCTCTATAAATGATCTTGTGAAGGGAAAAATATCTTAAATCATTAAAAGGAAGATATAAAACCACTAAGAAAATTAATATATAAGAATACATACAGGTTTTGTGGTTCTTCCTCCAACAAAATAGAATGTCACCCTGAGTCACCTGGGTCACCAATGGCCCTCGTGAGATTTGACTCTGTCTCGTAAAATGGCACATATTGATATTTGACTATGTCTTGTGAAATCACATGAGTTTACCTTCCTTTGATTCAACATGACTCACGAAGGCCTTGATAATCTGGTCCATACCTTCTTCCCCCTCCTTAAATTCCGCCCACTTCTTCCTCCCACTGCACAGCCCTTGTCTCCCCAGCAGATGAGGTACACTGCCAAGATCATTTGATGGGAATAGTTGAGTTTAAGCTGCCGTATTCTTCCTGCCCCATGACTCCCAATCGACTTTTTGAAGAGCCCAAGCTAATCACTTTATATAACATTGCACATTCTAGATTTGTCTGGCTCTTTCTTCCTGTTATTTCCCCTGTTACTCCAGCCCTTCCATTTCTGGTCCACTGGAAGTGAAGTCTAAAATCTTAGCTTCAAATGAAACGTCGTTCCCCCCACTCCTACCCCATGGCTAGGAATGGGACCTAGGACCTTGTGTGTGCCAAGCACATGCTCTACCACTGAGCTACTCCTTCATTTAAGGTGAGACGTTTTTGGTGAGAGTACTTTGTGGGTGATGCCATAAACTTCACAAAAGGTACAGATTATCTCATTGTTACTGATGCTAAATTTAATCACATGTTAAAGTGGTGACAGCTAGAATTACTTGTGCTGTGTATAGCTGTGTTCTCTCCTCAGCACTTAGCAAGTGTGTTGTAGGGTAATATTGTGGTAACTTATAAATATCTGAACCCCACCACACTTTCACATTACAGCTTTAGTGCACATTGACAATCTCTGCATGAATTGATAATTTTCTGATTCTTTTATGTGATCTGCATTTATTATTGATTAAGCTCCTGTGCAAACCAGCTTTCCTTTACTACCACTCCCCCCACCTTTTTTTGTGGTACTGGGGTTTGAACTCAGGGCCTCACAGTTGCTAGACAGGCACTCTACCACTTGAGCCCCTCCACTAGCCCTTTTCTGGTTTGGGCATTTTTTAAGCTAGGGTTTCTCGAACCATTTGCCAGGACTGGCTTTGAACCATGATTCTCCTGTTCTCTGCCTGCTGCGTAGCTAGGATTACAGGCATGAGCCACTGGAGCCTGGCACCACTTCTCTTAAAAAGGCATGTTACATGCTTAATTCTTTCTCTTTAATTACCAGTTCTCAGGGTAAGGAGACTAAGGAGTTGGTTGTAATAGTCACCTCCAAAATTTGCCAGTTTTTGGACTTATAAATCTTATGTATCTGATATTTTATAATGATTATAGTCACTATGCTTTTTTGATGTCAGATGGTCTTCCATTTGCCTACAGAAAGCTGTTTCAAGCTGGTTCTTATATTAGTCCCCACTTATTTGATCTTTGGCTAAATAAGATAGCTAAGGCTCACCTTGTCCTTTCCATGTCCCACTCATTTCTCAGAGAAGCTCTGTGAAAAACCTCTTTTTCGGGGCTTGAGTAATTCAAATCTTCCTCAGCATGAGAGGTATTGGGTAAGTCTACACTCATAATGCTGGTGGTAGACAAACAGGTGGCAGTGGGGCTGACATCTCTGCTTATGTAGGGAATGACTTTTCCGTTTCTCTTGGCATATATTGCGGGGAAGAAAAATAATTCTTTTAGTTCAGTTCCTGGGACATGGGGGTCAAATTGACATAAACCAGATTAACAGGAGAAAAAGGTGTATTGTGAATGCACATAGGAAATTCACAGGAAAAGAGGCACCTGAGGCTTATGCACCCATTTAACAAAGGGTGATAAAGTGTGAAGGGACTTGACAAAAGAAAAGAGGGTTTCAGTCTTTGCAGGGGTAGGGCTAAATGGTGAGAAGTTGACTAGCAAATGTATGGTAAAAACATGTTACTAAATGGTTGTTTAGTAAGGTTTATCAGGTTTGAGCAGTTCTCTATGTTTAGGGAGAAAGGGGAAGGGCAGAGAGTAATTTTTTTGTTTGTAGTTTCTTAATTGCTTTCAACTCAAAATAATCTTAATGGCAGAGTGGCACATCTTGGGATGGCATGTTCTGATCCTCTTGCATATTAACCTGGAATACTTTCTTGCACCTAGTGTTACTTATTGCGCTGCTTCTTTCTTTGCTATTAAGATGATCTGCTCCTTAAAAAAAAACGACCTCTTACCTGCAAAACCCCAACAGGCAGCCCAGGTATTAACTATTAGGTAGAGGAACCCTTTGTACCTCTCTACCAGCTCCTAGATGCTACCGGTGTGGAAACTAGGCTCTCAGAAGCCAGAGTTAAGTACCTCTGTGACTTCCAGTGCGCTGTCCTTACTACATCAATTATTGTGATTGCATTGCACACGGGTGCTTGCTTCCATCCGCATTCTGGGAGGCACGCGGGGTAAATGAAGTGTTCGAGCAAGGGGGCTATTAGCTTGTTGAGGACACTTGAGCACACACAAAACCAAAAGCAAGAACAAAACAAAAAATCCTAGGATCATTGTGTCCTAAGGTGAAAAGGCTTTTATTTATTATTACTATTTTTAAAAACGAATTGTCTTTTCTTCCATTTTATTCCCTTCAGCACCTATTCTGCAATAACCAGTAGCTGATTTCCATTTAATTTCTAGATATACAACTATGGTTAAATATTCCAGACTTTGTTCCAATTTGCCTTTATTCTTCTGAAGCAAAGCAAACAAGACATGTCATGACCCAGACGTCCGCGATCCGGTTCTTGTGTTCTCGGCTTTCCCAGGCCTCGTGCAGCGCTTTGCACACTTCGGCGCGGCCCCGACGGAGCTCGGGGCGAATCCGGGTCCCGGGGCGCGGGCTCGGCCCCTTCCGGCCCCTTCCGGCTCGTTCCCAGGCATGCAGCGGGCGCGAGTGCTTCTGCGGCTCGGGGGGCTCCGAGCCCCCAAAGGCCTGGCCGCCGCCGCCCGCGCCGGGCCCCGCCTCCGCCCCGGCCCGGGCCTCCGCCTCCGCCGGGCTCCGCGGCTCGGGTCGCTGCGCAAGGCCGCAGCCGCCGCGACCCCGGAGCGCCCCGACGCGGGTGAGAGCGCGCGCGGGCCGGGAACCGCGGGAGCGCGCGGGGAGCCGGGCCGGGGGCCGCGGGAGCGCGCGGGGAGCCTGGCTGCGCGACCTTGTCGCCCGCTTTCACTTTTGCTTCCCGTGTCTGATCTGTGACCCCTGGTTCAAAGTCCTTGCCAGCACGTCCCTGCCGACCGTGTGGCGTGGTAAACACACTCAGAAAAGGCTCCATCTTATTTGATAAGGGACAGCCGACAGCATCCTGCTGCAAGTCGGGTCTTCTTCTAGGTTTGGGAACGAGCGCTTTAAAACTGGCGCCAAGTCTGTCCCCGCGCCCAGAATGAACTCCCAGCCTGGGTCGGTCAGCGTTTGCTGTGAGTTGAAGTCGGTGGGTGGAACGAGGTAGGGGGACTTGAGGTGAAAGGAACCAGCAAGAGTTAGAGAAAAGGTGCTTTTCTGCAGGACTTCTATATTCAAGTGGAGAGGAAGCGAGACTGATCGCCGGGTAGATGGGCGTCAGCTCGAGTGAACGTGTCTGCGATTGCCATGCGAATGTGGGCCCAGGGGTGCCTGTTGGAGTTGCATTTATAATACGATAGGGGTGTCATCCCGGCGGAAGGACAAGGGACCGCTCACTGCCTTAAGTGAGTGGCTTTGCATCTCAGGATGCTGTTAGTTCCTCTGGCATCTTTTCCTTAGTCATATAAACAAAGTTTCTTTTCTTTCCTTTGCAGATAGTTTTAGCTTATTTTGTCCATTTCTCCCCAGTAATGTGGGTTGGTTTTGTTCCCTTTTTATGATGAGAGAAAAGTATGAAAGTCAAGTGACTTGCAGATTGTCACCCAGCTCGCAACGCTTATCCAGACTTAAGATACTACTATCCAGAACTAGAGGGATGACATGGGCTCTTTCATTGACTCTCAGGGAATGTAGCTGCTTATTATACTAGTACAGCGATTAGAAGTGTTGCTTAATGAAGCTGTACCATATTGTCCAAATAGGAAACTTGTTTTATACAACACTGGGCAAAATGGCCCATCCTTTTTTTCTCTTGGCCTGTCTGTGATGAAGTCACTTGCTGAAGTGGACCTGTATTTTACTATTAGCATATATGTAAATGTATGGTTTTATGATATATTTTAAATTTATGCATTAATCTTTTTAAATAAAAGTCATATTGCTTCAGTTTAAAAACATTTAACTAAGAGCTGGTGGAATGGCTCAAGTGGTAAGATTGCTTGCCTAGCTAAGGCCCTGAATTCAAACTCCAGTATCACCAAAAAAAAAAAAAAAAAAAAAAAACAAACCAAAACCAAAAAAGAAAACCAGAAAATATCCCAAAAACCAAACCAAAAATACCATTTGACTCGCAGAGGTGGGAAACAGCCCAGCTCTGTCAGCATTTGAGGTAGTTAATGTCTTACACCCTTTCCCTGCAGAATTGTAAATCTTCAGAGCATATAGTTTTATATCTGCTCTCTATTCATTTCGCAGTGCTGGGGAATCACACCCAGGGCCTTCTGCATCCTAGACAAGCCCTCTGCCTCTGAGCTGGACCCCCTCCCTCCCAGCCTCCATGATCTTCATTTTCAAAAGTCAGTATTTGTTGTAAACTTTTTTTTCTGTTGTTACAGTCTTCGGAGCCATTATTTTTATTTGGCGTTGGAGTGAAGATGCTGTGTTTAACTATTCCGTATGGTTAGTCATGTAAATTATTCCCCTTTTTCTTTTTTTCCCTCTTCTTTTTTTGGGCTGTTGGACGCGGGGGGTATGTGCAAGTGCTCTACCACTTGAATAACACCCCAGTCTTTTTTACTTTAGTTATTTTTCAGATAGGGTCTCACACTTTTTTGCTCAGGCCAGTCAGTCTCAGACCTTGATCCACCTACCTATGCCTCCAGTGTAGCTGGGATTACAAGCATGGATGATCGATCACACCTTGCTCATTTTTTGAGATAAGTTCTCACTGAATTTCTTTGCCAAGGCTGGCCTTGAAGGTGGATCCCAAGTAGCTGAGATTATGGCCGTGAACGACTGGGCTCTTCCCATTGTTCCACTTTTTCTTTAAGCAGAGCTATGATGAGTCTATTTGAGTGTATAGTGTATAAATGCAGGTATCTATCAGAAGAACATTAGAACATTTTTGTGGTTTCTGGTGTATTGCCGCGTTGCTTTCTGTAAGGATTACCTCAGTTTACAGTGGTGCAATCAGTGTATGATGAGAGGCTCTGGGCATGGTTGGTGCTGAAAGGGGTGGGTCATGCCACACAGTGCTTGATCCAGACTCCAGCTCCCAAATCTTCTAGCTGCATCCTTGGGCAGTTAGCAATCTGCTGGTTGGTGGTGTAGCAGTACCTCTCGGGTAGCATAGCTGTGTGAATGAAATGTTACTCTCTGTAAAGTGCTTCCAGCTGAGCCTAGCATCAAGCACCTGCTTGAGGGGGAGCATGATTTCACCAGCTTCACTTCGTCGTTATGTCATTAATGCACTAGGCTCACTTTTATTTGGATTTGCACAAGAGATAAAACTTTGTTTTACTGCTAGACCACATTTAGGAGACACTCAGATACTCCCAACAGGCCGGTGGAGTGGCTCACGCGGTAAAAGCACCTGCCTAGCAAGGGTGAGGCCCCGAGTTCAAACCCCAGTGCCACCAAAAAAACCCACAAACCCCAAAATGAAAATAAACAAAAAAATTACTCAAAAAATGAAATTTTAGTTCAAATGCTTCAAGGATTGGTTATTTTAAGACAATTTTGAGAAAGCAAAATATACCTTGTGTGAGAGAAATCAAGCGAGTACATGTGTGTGTATGTATACTTAGGATGGATGAATTTAATTCATATCTGCCCACCTTTGCCCAAACTCTAGAGCTCAGGGAACTGGAGGATGGGTTCCTAATGTGTTTAGTTTAAGAATCACATTCTGTAAAATGACCAGCAGTTCTTTCAAGACTTACTTGTAAGCTGGGCATGTGGTGCACGCTAGGACTTGGGGGATGAGGTAGGAGTATTGCAAGTTCCAGGACAGCCTGAGCTATATAGTGAGATACACACACACACACAGAGACAGAGAGAGAGAGAGAGAGAGAGAGAGAGAGAGAGAGAGAGAGAAGGGGTAGAACTCACTTGTAAGTGGAATTCTCTTTTTGGAGTTAATAAGGCTTGTCTACCAAAATTGCTTCAATTCTTCTGTAACAATAGAAGGTAGTTTGTATTTGAAGTTCTTGACTCTTATCTTTTTTTTTTTGTGGTTCTGGGATTTGAACTCAGGGCCTCATGCTTGTTAGGCAGGGCCTTTACCACTTGAGCCATGCCCCCAGCCCTCTTTTGTTTTAGTTAGTTTTTAGATAGGGTCTTGCATTTTTGCCCAGACTGCCCTGAACCACAGTCTTCCTATTTATGCTCTCCCAGTAACTGTTTTGACAGGCGTGTACCATTACCCCAGCTATTGGTTGAGATGGGATCTTGCTAACTTTTTGCCTGGGCTGGCCTCAAAACCATAGTCCTCCCTATCTCTACCTCCTGAGTAGCTGGGATTACAGGTGTGAGCCAATGACTCCTGTTAATTTTGCTATAACATTACATACGAATTTAATATGCTTTTATTAACACGATGGAGAATGACATGGAGCAAGTGATATTACGCTCTTCTATTTTTATTTTATTTATTTACAAGCTTTTGTTTTTATGTCAGATGGGATAGTAATACCTTTGTTCATTACCCTGTGAAAATGAGAGCATCTGGGCTGCATTAAATCTCAGAGCCGTTCTTCGTGAGATGGCTGCATTGCAGGGTAGCCCAAGTGACGTATTAGCTACTCCCAAATGCATGCTTACCTTTATCCAGCCATTCAGTAACCATCAGTGGAGCATTACAGTGAGCTGAGCTCAGTGCCAGGCATGGAAGGATGAAGAGAGAACAAGACAGGCTACTGAAGAAGTGTATAACTGGGTGACCTTGTTACTTAGTCCCCCTTCGCTTTCCACAGTGTTTCTGATGTGCAGTCACTGCTGTCACCTTTGTCACTGTGTGATTCTGATTTTCCCGTTGGTGTAGCCAGAGTGATCCACATGGCACTTGGTAACTGCTGATTTACTGAGCTCAAGATAAAGTGAAAGCTAAACTATTTCAAGAGTTTTTTCATTTAAAAATGACTTAATTCATCATTCCATTTAATTCCCCTTGCCTTCAAAATGTGTTAGTAGAGCCCAGGAGTTAGTTTCTTCTCCTCACATATTGAACAGCTTCCTGTATGTAGCTGTTCCTTAACTTAAGATGAGGTTATGTCCCACCAAACCCATGGCAACTGACAAATACCCTAAGTCACCTACTGCCGAGTGTCCTGGCTTAGCAGCACAGTACACTGTAGTGTTGGCTGTTTCCTTGAAAGGTCATAGCTGAAGGGAGCTGTGGCTCACTGCAGCTGCCCAGTGTCACAGGAGTGGATTCTCCCACCTGGAAAAGAGATAAAAATTCATTTTTTTTCCTTTTGAGTTAGGGTCTCATTATGTAGCCTAGGTTGGCCTTGAACTCAAGATCTTCCTGCTTTCACCTCCTGAGTGCTAGGATTACAGATGTGTGCATCACCACTTGAAGCCGAAATTCAAAATTTGAATACAGTTTTTACCAAGTGAGCATTGCTTTTGTATCATCTTGAAGTTGAAAATTTGAGTCAGGGACTGTCTCTATTTCCAAGTGGCACATGGACTTAGGAGCTAGCACTGAGATACCAGTGTTAAACAGGCCAGTCTCCTATCACTCATTACCCAGATTGAGAATAAAATAAGGAAAACAACAATTGGGTTTACTTCTTCTCATTCTGATTTTCATGTAGCCTTGTTTATGTTTAATTGTACAAATGCTTTTTTTCTTTTTGTTTTTGGAGATAGCATCTCACTTTGTAGCCAAGGCTGGCCGCCTCAAACTCAGGTCCTCTCGCCTCAGCCTCCTGAGTGCTGGGATTACAGTCATGAACCACTCATGCCTGGCTTAAAAGTACTCTCTTGTGGCTAGCTTTTCAAGTGTAAGCTACATGGTCATGGTCAGAGATGGTCCTTATGTGCAGCTGTCTGTGCCCAGGAATTCAAGATAAACTCCACTGTGTCTTTAGTGTAAGCATGAAAATAGAAAAGCAGTGTTTAATTTGTTCTTACATTTTTTTCAAATATTTGTGAGTTCTTGAGTAGATAAAACTAATATTTGTTGAAAACCTATGTGCCAGGCAAACTCTCAAAGTTTGAACTCTGTAGTAGCATTATTAAGAATGTATGATTATAATTTTGTTTGGTATTGAACTTGACTGAAAAAATTTTCTTTGTTGTTTTTTTCTCTTACCCAAAAAACAGGTGTATTTGTGTGGGTGAATAATGGTAGAAATGTCTCAAATTGCAATAAAAATTTACATATTTTGGTGTACATGTTAACTGCAACCTATCATGGTAACTATTATGTTATACATTGTAAGCCACATTCTTTATGGAATGTGTTTTGCAGGTATTATATTTGAAAATAGAATTTATAACAGAATAAAATAAATGCTTTCTTTAATATGTTGAGTGGTAAACTAGTCTTTAGTAAATACATGGAGTGAAAATTATAGTTCATTCCTACTCCAAATAACATTTCTGTCTGTCAATAAAGGCATAGAGATTAGTGCTATGGGCAGAGCACCAGCTGACAAACTTAGCAGTTAACTTTATCAACTTAAGTAGACACCCTCTTTCCCTTAACCTCCACCCAAGATATGTGATCGCTCCACCCATAACAAGAAAGCAAACAAAGACCAAATGCGAAATGTGACTTTAATTTAGTACAGGACCATGGGAGACCTGATACAGAAACTCTAAGATCATTTGCTTCTTATAATTGAATTTCCAAAAATGCATGTTTTTGTTGTTGTTTTTTGAGACAGAGTCTCCCCATGTTGTCCAGGCTGGCCTTGAACTTGAGATTTTCCTGCCTCCCCAGTGCTGGAATTATAGTATGTACCACCATGCTTGGCTCCAGAAATGCATATTTAGAGCTATGTATTTTAAAATGAATTTCTAAATGTTAACTATAATAGTGGAGGGAAATAATTTAAATGTCTTTGTGGAAGAAAAAAAATAAAGGTCAGAACTCGTACAAATGAGAACACCTACATAATATTTTAAAAAATAATTATGAAAACACTGATTATATCTTGGTGGCTTGTTTTCAAAGGGTATGAAAAAATTAGTTTTAGAGTTAAGAAAAAATAGCTATAAAAGATGTTGAGGGTTATTGATTGTCTTCATCTAACTCTGAGTTGTGCTTTAAAAAATGATTAAAGTTTTAGGCTTATTGTTTAACATAAAAATGCTCTTGTCAAAATGTGGACCATATTAATAATGTTTATGGAAATAGTTTTCCAGTACATTTGATGATAAGTAGAACCTCTCTTAATAGATGTTAATATATATTGAATTCAGTTAGCCGAACTGTTTTGGTGTAGGATAAGAGTTTAAAAAATATCGAGTTAAATAATGCATTTTTTTTCTTTTTATGATATGCTAAAGGAGGAATAAATTCCAGTGAATGTGAAAATATGTCAGAAAAAGAGGAAATGTCGGAGGAGTTTGAAGCCAATCCTGTGGATTCTCTGATAAACATGCCACTTGCTACTATAGATATTAAAGATGATGTTGGAAGTAAGTACTTTGTTAAATTAACATATTTAGAAGTGGTGAACAGTAAATGTACTTATATTTTTTTTCTTACTAAATTATTTCACTTCAAATTCTCGTCATGTTTTTGAGTTTTGTTGTTAGTAGTTGTCTGTCTCTGTTGGTATTGTGTTGTGAAAATGATCACAAATAATATTAAGATATGTCTCACAAAATTTGGGGCCAGATTGTTCTGTGGTTGATAAGTTAGTTCTGAAGATAATGGGCTTGTATTTTGGTTAGATGTAAGGAAAGAGGAAGACTTGCACTATAAGAAATCCTGTATCTTCTTGTTTCCCATTCCATTATCTAAGGGTGAAGAAGTGTGAAGTTCTGCTCAGCCAGGGCACGTGCTTCCCATCTGACTGTCACAGCTGTTAGTGACCTTCATGGGAAGAATTTGCATTCTTGTTAAGTAGAAGAAGATACCCTTTGGGAAAGAGAGGCAAGCATAACAAGGATTTGGTCTGGGGGCATGGCACAAGGGGTAGAACATCGGCCTAGCAAGAGTTAGTCCTCTGAGTTCAAACCCCAGAACCACAAAAAAAAAAAAAGAGATTTAATGTTTTCCTTTATTTATTTATTTATTTTTTGAGACAGGGTCTTGCTATGTAGTCCAATCTTGAACCTATGATCCTCTTGCTTCAGCCTCCAGAGTATTGGGATTGCAGGCATGCACCACCACCTGCTAATTCCCTACTTCTTGAGCAAATAAAATAAGTATATTTAAAATATTCAGTTACCTCTTACTGATTTCATTACTGTTTTATTTGGTATAAAATAAAGAAGGCTCCTCATGAATATCAGGCCCCATAGGCTCACAGTAGGCATCACCAGCATACTTCTTCCTTCTGAGCTTTGTCCAGTCTCTGTCCACTTGGAGCACTTATAAATTAGTCTAGAACAAGTGATGAAACCTGTTCACCATTCCAGCAACGATACTTCTGATTTTTCATGTCCCACACTTAGTATATATGATCAGACAGCTTCTACTGGGGATAGAGTACAAGATAGTATTCTTTATCCACTGTATTCATATGTCTACTGGTGAGAAGACCAATGATCCCTGGGACCAGAAAAAAGAAAGTGGGGTATGCTTTGTGGCCTGCATTCACTCCTGCTTTGAAAAAGACAGCTGCTTCTGCAGAGGATGGGCATTGGGAAGGATGGCCAGGCCTTCATGCAGACACAGTATTTCCTCTGTAGGACTGGATATAGTTCTTACCAAAAAAAAAACGAAGATGTCATCCATGTCTGACAGGGACTCAGGCCAGCCCACGGAAGTCCCTTTTTAACTATATTGTATTAGACCACTCCTTGATAGTTTAGGCTTTATAAGATCAAAGTTTTGTGGATTAGTCTAGACTCCAAGCCACTAAGTATAAGACTCCAAGCCACTTTTGTGGGAAGATGGATTTCAGATTTTAAGCTCCAATTTATGCATGGGTAGTATGGTATAATAGGAGAAATAGAAAACTTGTATTTTTTTTTTTTTGGCAGTACTGGGGTTTGAACTCAGGGCTTCATGCTTGCTAGGCAGATGCTCTCCCACTTAAGCCACTCCACTAGTCCTTCTTGTGTTGGGTATTTAAGAGGTAGGATCTTAAGAACTGTTTGCCTGGGGCTTCTGATCTCTGCCTCTTGAGTTGCTATGAATACAGGGGTGAGCCACCGGCACTGGCTGTGTTATAAGTTTTGATTGATACTCTACTTGTGTGACTTTGGACACTAAAGCTGTGTGAGCTGGGCTTCTATAACTGTAAAATGTGAATTATATTCGTTTTTGCTTATTTCACAGTATTGCTGTACAGATCAAAAGAGGAAATGGGTGCACAAAAGACATTAAAAGTGTATGATGATGTACAAATGTGACTTTTACAAAGCCTCTGAACATATTCCTTAGTTATTTGGGGTGTAGTATGCTCTCATTTTTGTAACAACTTTTTTGGCTGGGCACTAGTGGCTCATGTCTGTAACCTCGGCTACTTGGAGGGCTGAGATTAGGAGGATTGTGGTTTGAGGCCAGGCCTGGCAAGTAGTTCATGAGACCCCATCTCCAAAATAATCAGAGCAAAATGGGCTGGAAGTGTAGCCCAAGTGGTATAGTACCTGCTATGCAAGCATGAAGTCATGAGTACAAATGTGTCTCACCAAAAAAAAAAAATATATATATATATATATATAGTAAAACAACTTTTTTTGGATAACACCATGGAACGAATAGTAAAATTCTCTGAAAAGCAGAAACTATGTGCTAATTTTTGTGAAGTGAGATTTTTACAGAAATGTACAAGAACTAGGAGTTTTGTTATCAGCCTTTAAACCTTAAAACAGACACAGTAGTTGTATTTATGGGCACACTGTTACCATTAGGTGGCATGTGGTCTTGTCAGCTGAAGAGGAGCTTTACATTTTTTTGGCAGTACTGGGGTTTGAACTCAGGGTCTCATGCTTGCTGGGCAGGTGCTCTACCACTTGAGCCACTCCATCAACCCAGCTTTACATTTTTTGGTTGGTTTTATTTAAAATGATATTGTTTCACTCAAAATATATAGAACATTAAATATATTTGAATATTATACCTAAAGGCTGTAACATCAGATACATTAGAATTATATATTAGGATGTAAAGATATATGAGAAGTAAACCATCCAAATGTACAAATGTACAAAAGAACACCTTTGAGAAATGGTGAGGAAACAGTCCAACCTGTGTCTTGCTTTTGGCTCCATTGGTTGCACATGGTCCAGGAGAAAATCCAGCATTCGTGAGGGGTGGATCTGGCCCTGGATGGGTCTCTTCTCTTTATAAGGGAAGTGCATTGTGGCCCAATTGGTTAGAAACCCAGTAAACCATCCAGACAGGGTGTTGCCATACCCTGCCTCTGCAAGTCCAATGGGAGACTGAACTGGAGAGTCATTTTATGTTCGTGGGTGTAGCTTTGTCCCTTTCCCATGGTGGGATCCTGGGAGAACTTTAGTACAATTGACTCTAGTCACTTTGGAGAGTCACAGTTCTTCACCATCAAACCATATTTAAGTCAAGATTCAAGAAAATATTTGACTATTCTTTTTTAGTTATATGCCTTTCCTAAATTTGGAATTCTCCTGTGTTGAAATCATTAATCCTTATTTTTCCTTACCCAGAATTCTAATTTGTAATTATTAAAGAATTTTGAGATATAGGAAATTATCATTTTGTTGCTTATTAATTTGTTAATATGTTGTCATTAATTTTAAAACATACTGTCTTAAAATTTTAAAATATCAGCTAAAAGTATCTGAATTTTTTTCTAAAAAGTGCTATATCAAAGGTTGAATTTTAGTACATACCTGATATAGTGATTATTCTGAGTCCACTTAAGAAAAAGATAAATTATGTCCGGTGTCCTTTATATAACTAACTGGGGAGGCATGCATCAGTTAACAGCAGGACCTGTTCTGAGAATTGCTTATTAGTAAGTTTTGTCCTTATGTGAACATCACAGAATATCTTCACAAACTGAGATGGCTGTGATATCACTAGGTGATAGAATCCTATGGGGCTATCATTTGGTCCATCATTGACCAAAATGTCATCACGTGTCATGCAATGAAAGCTTAAGGCAAAAATATTTATCCCAACAATACAAGTGTGGGTGTGTTTTCTGTGGATTGAACTCAGGGCCTTTTGAATGCTAGGCAAGTGCTGTACCACTGAGCTATATCCAAGCTTGGAGTTTATTTCTTAGGCACCTCACTATGCACCTCTTTTTTCTGTTTTGCTTCTCTTTCCTTTTGCTGTCTTCTTTGCTGCCTATCCCTTAGTTCTAGAGCTTAGTGTCTAGAGTGCTGGGATTACAGACATTAACCACCATGCCCAGCTCAGTGTTTAGGTTTTAATTACCATTTCCCCCCCACCCCCGCCCCGGGATCCCCAGTGAGATCTCTATGCTGGGATGAGGCTATGCTTGCACTGATTGGAGCCATGCCCCCAGTCATCGCCATAGAACTTGACCCATAAAAGTGCTAAAATACCTGTTGCTTGACCGAATGGCAGTTTCTAGTCTTCTGTTTCCAGACTGGATTTGAGCTCCAAATCTGGACACTTAACTCATTAGACATGAGCAAGGGTGTTAGCTAAGTAAGAGGAAGGGATGGGGGAGAGATGGAGTAGAAGGATTATTCCAGGAAGAGGAGAGCAAGCCCCGCTGGCTCTGTTTCCAGAGTTCTCAGTTCATTCCATTTTCCATCTCTGCTGACATATACCTTCTCACCTGGACTCTGTCATAGTCTCCTGACTCTCATTTTGTCCCCCTCTCCCCATTCACTATTTAGCAGAAGGCTAAATAGTGACAAAATCTAACCCCATGGCTCCCTTGTGGACAGCCCTCCCATTGGTTTGAAGGCCCTCCTCTCACATTTTGTGCTTCAGAACAGAGTTGATTATAGGCTCCTGAAGACCCAGGAAGACTCTCCCCTTGGTGCTTTTGCTCTGGGAACGGTCAGGTTGACTGGACCGCCCTTCTCCTGTCTTACAGACATTGCTCTGGTGTCACTGCCTCTGAAACCCTTTCCTAATGTGTCCAGTTGGCACTACCTCCTCCCTGCTTCTGTGCTAGCAAAGGTGGTCCTCACAATCTCAAGGCTTCCTGACTTCCCCAGTCAGGAAGTCCAGGCAGGCCAGCCATCCGGGTCTCCCTCCAAAGTCTGGCACTCGTGGTTTTATTTTATTTATTTAAATTTTAAGGACAGGGTCTCACAGTGTTTCTCAGGCTGGCCTTGAACTCATGATCTCCTGCCTTAGTCTACAAGTACTAGGATTATAGGTGTGCACAACATGCCTGGCACCTTTTCTTGGTTAAAAATATAAGATGACAAGGCTGTGTCCTAGCTGCTTAGATCATAGGGATCAGGACGATTGTGGTTTGAGGCCAGCCTGGGCAAAAAGTTGGCAAGACTTCATTTCAACAAACAAGCTGGGCATAGTGGTGCAGCCTGTAACCATACCCAGGAGGTATAGATAGGAGGATCACAGTCTAAGGCTAGTCCCAGGCAAAAATGTGAGACCCTACTAGAAGTAAACTAAAGCAGAGGGGCTGGAGGCATGGCTCATGTGGTGAATGCCTGCCTAGCAAGTGCAAGGCCTTGAGTCCAAACCCCAGTATTGCCAACCCCCCCCAAACAACAACAACAACAAAACCAAGATGATGAATAAAAATAAAACAAATGTAATAGACACACTAGTTATTGGGTTTAAAGCTTTATTATTGAGTTTAAAACTTTAAAAAATCTTACAAATTGTGAGCCACAGTACCTTTTAAATAGTAAAAGTATTGGGAAAGATGCAAATATATAAAGTTTAGGAAATGGTAGATTAAGCTATATTAGTGCCTCTGATTACATATTATGCAATCATTTATTGTTAAAAATAAATACTATTTCTGAAAACAGTATTTTACCATAGGGTGCATTATATATATGCATACACGTATGTGTGTGTGGGGTGTGTGTGTGTGTGTGTGTGTGTGTGTATGATGCAGAATGAAAACAAATGGGGCTAAAATTGTGCGTGCTATGTGTTTACAATTCTATAAATATTTTTGTGATCTATTGCCAAATTCTTAGTGATTGTGCTAAGGGAGAAGGCTTGTGACCCTTTTCTTGTTCCTTTTTCTCATTCTCAAATTTTACAGTGTTCATTATTGTTTATATGAGAAAATACAATTAAATTTTTAAGTGTGGATAAAAACTTGCTTTTAGGATGAAGTAATTCATCTTTGCACTTTCCATCAAGGGACCACATGGTCACACTATGGTGGGTACAGTGAGTGCTGTGAGGCAGATTTCAGGTTCAAGGTTTACTCCTATACTTTCTTATTATGTACTTTTTCCAGGCTTCATATCATTAGCTGTAATATTAGCATAATAATGACAGCAACCTTACCAGATTGTGGGAAAGATTCAATTCCTCTAGATATGTTACCCCCTTAAGAGTTTGTAGCATATACCTAGGCTCACTAACTTTTCATTAATTTAATTTTACCAAAATTTTGCCTAAATGTATATTTGTAAACATTTTCCCCTTAAGAACAATATGTTGGGCTGCAGGTGTGGCTCAAGAGGTAAAGTGCCTGCCTCGCAAGCAGGAAGCCTTGAGTTCAAACCCCAGTACCATTACAAAAAAAAAGCAATGTTATAATAATAATAATAATGTTGAGTGCTTTTACTGTAATGCTCAACACTTTATATTTTCTTATTTAATCCCCACAGAAACCCAATGCGGGAAGTAACATTACTTTTTAAAGAAAGCTTTAGTAATTTGCCAAAGATTATTCAGCTATAAGGGGGAATAATTCTGTGAAATACAGAAGATAATATTCTAAGTCATCCAATGAAGGAGTTTTAGGAATGGTTACTTCAGAGATTTTAACTACTTAAATAACAAGGAAATATCAAAACAAAATCTAACTCATTCTCAGCCTTTTAATGAAGAGTAAATGTGAAAAACAATCAATCTACAATAACAGATGGAGTACCTAATTAAATCAATTTCTCTCATAACTCAACTCCTCTGTAGTTTATAAAGGAATAAATAGAACTTGAGGAGAAATTAGATCATTTACCTAAAATGACGTGTGGTGCTTTAGTTAAAAAAAAATAATTGCATGGATCAGGGAGTTACAACTTTGTCAACAAGACCAGATTCATTAGAGCACATTAAAATGGCTACTAAAGTCATTATGGAAATTAACAAGTGGCATAAATTAAATTGATGAATTTACAAGCTGTACTTCCATAAGTAACTTTTTTTGTTAACCAATAGTTACTGTAACTAATCCAGTGAAGGATCCAGGGCACATGGCCAAAGTTTTCTACATTTTGTTTCTACAGAGACTGATCTTTAATATTTTTATCAGTAAACTAGATGACTGCATGAATATTTTGCTCTTTATATTTGCACGTGAAAGTAAGTAAAAAGAATAATAGCAGATTATCCTTTCAAACCTGGATTATGGTTTCAGAGTTAGAAACAAAATGAAGTTTGGTAAGCAAAAACAGAGATTTTACACATTGAGCGTACATAAACTTTACTAATGAAAGAGACTGTGTAAATGAGAGAAAAGAGATTGGGGTCAGCGTACACCAGGCTGACCAGAAATTGGGCTGGTGGAGCAGCTTAAATGGTAGAATGCCTGCCTAGCAAGCATGAGGCTGAGTTCAAACCCCAGTACTGAAAAAAAAAAGAAAAAAGAAAAAAAAGCATAATACACAGGGGTTAATAAAACTGCCATAGCAATAAGTATTGTTAGCATTCTTTTTTCTCAGCCCTTAACAGATAATTTATAACTTTGTGCTATCTGTAATGCCTAACAAAAGAAACCTTTGGATCATGTCATTCAAACGAAAGCTAAAGAAATTTAGACAAACCCCTTACTATTTTACTTCTACCAGGAAGATGTGCTCTAAGTTGAGGTTTTATACTGTGTCATTTTCAAGATTCTAGAATTGTTGTCATACATTATAGCCATTACTTTGAGAGAATATGATTTTTCTTTTCTGGGTAAGTGTAAAATAGACTTGTGGAATGTTTGAAATGGCAAAAAATCAGTTTCTACAGACAGGAAGGCAGCTCAGTGTAAAAAAGAAAATATATAAACCAACTTAACATGCTGAAAGTGCCAGTGGTCTTTTAAATACCATGCAAAGTCTGTTTTTGTCTTTAGTATTGTTCATATTGGAGTGCAAATAAAATGCAATAAAATGATTACATCCCTCTGTTCTTAGTAAGGAGAACACCAAAAATCATGTATATATAAGAATCAGAAATCAGTTTCAGTAAGCAATAATTATACTGTAATAACTACTTTTTGCAATCAGTGAACTGTCTATATGATGTGAGTCATTCCATTTGTTTTTAAAAAGTGCTCTTTATTATTTTCTAAGTTAATTTCCTTACCTTCTGTGGGTAAATGCTTTCAGTTTGGAAAAAACAAACAAACAACTACATTGTAGGTTCACAATTCTCCTGAATCTATTCTCTGTTTAATGTTACCATGAAATGTTTAACTGGTGCAGGTGTTAACAGTTAGGACCTTTATCACAGATCACAGAAAACTAGAACTGGAGGAGACCTCAAGATAGAGACTATCTAACTGTCTTCTTCCTTCCTTTCTCCCCCTCCTCCTCCTTCTTCTGTCTTCTCCTTTCTTTCTTCTTCTTCTTTCTTCTCTTCCTCTTTCTCCTCCTTCTTCCTTTCTTCTAATATCTCATTATAGAAACTTTCAAGTGTATTCACAAGTAGAGACAAAAGGATGTGAGTGTCCCGTATACATCACTGTCTCCTTAGTGCATTATTTCAAAGTCAATCTCAGGCATTTTACTTTATCTGTAAATACTTTAGTATATGTCTTCAAAAGGTAAGGAATCTTTAAAAATGTTTAAAACTTAATTTTAATATTTGTGGTGCTAGATATCAAACCCAGAGCCTTGGCCATGCTAGGCAAGTGTACTACCATTGAGCTGTACTCCCAGCCGAGAATCTTTGTTTTTAAAAGCATGTCTAAAACATCCTTACCATACCAAAGGATAATTTCTAATGTCATCTAATGTCCAATCAACCTCTGTGTCATTATTTTTTTAAATCCAGATTATTTGAATTAGGAACCAAAGTTTTTCATCATATTTTGTTGATGTATCTCTTGAGTCTCTTTTCATGAATTTTTTTTCTTGTGTGTGTGTGTGTGTGTGTTCATTGTTGAAGAAATTATTTTGTGAGGTGGTTCCTTTATTGAGAACAGTTAACATATTTCTCTATTCCTTATATTTTTAGTAAAGTGGTAGTTGGATCAGGAGACTTAATTATGTTTGGGAATGTTGGCAAGAATGTTTCTAGGATACTTTGAATTCCCCATAGTGGAGCATGGGTAGGCATGCTGTGTTTGCTTATGACATTTACATGTGTGCTTATAATGTATCTTGATTAGATTCACCCCCTTAGTTTTTCTTTTTATAGTCACGAATGGAGGGATTTCATCTTATTTGACATGTTTCACATTGATTGAATTTACTACTCAGGCTGATTCGAATATTGTCACACTTTTGGCCAGTGTGAAGACTTTCAAATTGACTCTTTCAAATGAAACTTTTCTTTTTTTTGTGGCACCAGTAGGTTTCATTATGCTGTCTTCATGTGTATATATGCAGCATACTTCCATACTCTTCACTGCTCAGTATCCTTTTCTTCTCTCCTTCCTTTCTTATTGATCCTCCTCAGACATTCATGACCCATTATCATCACCATCATTGTCGTCATCATCATTTTAGGTCTAGGTTCCACAAATAGTGTGAAGTTGCAATATTTGGCTTTTTGAGCTTGGCTTATCTCATTTAACATGATGATCTCCAGCTTACCTATTTTCCTACAAATGACATAGTTGCTCCTTTCCTTATGGCTGAGTAATATTCCATGGCATTTAAGATTTTCTGATATGATCCCCGGTGCTGTAGTTGGGACCTTAAGTGTCTCCAAAGACCCATGTGTTGAAAGTTTGGTCCCTGGTTCATGGCCCTATTGGGAGATGGTGGAACCTTTAAGGAGTGGGGCCTAGTGGAAGGAAGTTAGGTCTTTGGGGATGGATGAGAATGCTGTTTGCTAGTGTTAGAAAAACTGGCATTTGGGAGAGAATGGTTGTTAGCTGTACAGAGGTTAACACACTGTGGCCTGTAATGTTTTATTGCAACACAACCATACTTCTTTTTTTGTTTTATCAAAGTTGAATAGCTGCGGCAGAGACCCTATGATCTGCAACGACTAAAGGATTTGATATTACGTCCTTTATAGAAGTATTTGTCAACTTCTGCTTTAGCTGTGAAAATGACAGTTATGAGCTATTGCTACTTCTATATCACTTGTTTCCTTCTTTTTCTGACTACATTATCTCTGTTAAAATGTATTAGAGTCATTGTTATTTGACTTTTTTTCTTCTAGTCACTGATGTACCTCAAAGAAATTCTAAGAGGAGTAAAGAAAATGAATGCATCAAGAGTGATCAAATAAAGAAGAGGAAAAGAAAGCTAAAAGACTATCAGCCCAACTATTTCCTGTCCATCCCAGTCACTAACAGAGAGGTATTATCTTTAAACTTTTTACTGTGAAGTTGTATTCTAAATTCTGTTTACTAAAAAGTACACCAAGGGCTTGTCAGCCTATTCACTTTCAGCTTCTAAAAAGTCTTTGGTGGCATTTAGTAGGACCATGCAGGGGAAAAAAATCCTACTTAAATAATAGAATATCTTCAAATAATAGTTTTGAAAACTATATTTAAGCAATCACATTGAAACAAAAATTTTGCAAAAGCCACTCCAAAAAGGTGGCATTGTCAAGACCGCCACCAAAGGTTTGTTCAGTGTATTGAGGGAAAACCCTTAAGAAGCAGAGAGCAGTGGCCAAGTAGGAAAAGAGGGTTCCAGAATCTGCTTAGTTCTTTTCATGATAGAGATTACTGCAACAGAGTTTCTTTAAAAATTGTCCTTTATATAGGTTGAGTATCCCTTATCAAAATACTTGGGGCCAGAAGTATGACACATTTTGGATTTGGGGATATTTGCACATACATTATATTTTGAGGCTGGGACCCAGGTCTAAGCGTGATGCTCATTTATATTTCATGCACAGTTTACATCCACATTCTGAGGGTAATTTCATACAATATTTTTTGTGTACCTGCATCTTGATTGCAACTTACCATGTGAAGTCGGTATGGAATTTTCCACTTGTTGGCATCATGTTGGCCTTAAAAAACATTTTGGATTTTGGAACATTTTAGATTTCAGATTTTTGGACTAAGGATATGCAACCTATACCAACTTAATATTTCATAGAAAACTTGCTAGAAATGTATTAAAAATCTGGAAAAAAAAATGAATAATGGAACTAGCCAATTAGGCCATTCTGAGAAACTCTTAAGAGAGGAAACAGTTGTATCTATCTGAAGTTCCTAGGAATTGTCATTTCAGGGGTAAAAGTGTTGCTGCCATTCCAAAGTTACAACCAGAATTCTTTTTGGAGGGGATGTTAATTGAGCCCAGGTCTTCACATATGACAAGTGTGTGTGTACTACCAATCAGTTACACCCAGCCCCCCAAATAATAACTAGAACATTATAAATAAATGCTGGCTTCTTAGTATAGATTAAACTGCAGATTTAGAGGAAGTAACATGGCTTCTAATAGTTGGAAGTGTAGGTTAATTTAATGTTTTCTTCTTGAGAGACTTACTTTTTAGCTAATGGGAAGATGTAGAATCAGATGAGATTTGGAGATACATTTTATATCTTTTGCACAGCACTTTTTGTGTTTGTTTGTTTTAAAGTATCTAATGTTAATTTTCTTTTTAAACTACTTATAAATCTTTGGTCCGAAGTCCTGGGAAAAGAAGTGCCATTTATAACATTGTTTCAGTGGAAGACAGCATTCCAACTTCCAATTAAGGGACAGGCAAACAAGCTTTTGCAGGCTGCACATTCACAATGAGTTGCTCTACTTTTGGCCTCCACTTTTTGGCATCTAGTTTTAAAGAAAAAAGCATGCAGAGTTACATGGGTCTTTTGATTTGAAACACATTTTACGTTTAGAATTCTTTATTAATGGAAAATCTTTTTTAAATTAATTGAAAGTCTTGGATTTCATGTTTTTAAGAAATAGAATTAGAAAATAAATTAGGATGGCAGCATTAATATACTTCTTAATTAAAAGTATATGAAGACGTGCTTTTCTATTAACCTAAAATTAGACATTAGTTTAAAAATCAAAGGAGAAAAAAATTTGATGGGGTTATAATAAATGTAAATGCTTTTTAAATGACTAGGATTGTATAATTACTGATGTAGCCTATACGAACATGTGGTTTTATATGCTTTCTTATGTTAGCTTTCTATCACTGTGACAAAATATCTGAGATAATTAACTCATGAAGAGAACAAGTTTATTTTGGTTCACAGTGTTGGAGGTTCCAGTCCTTGCTTGATTGACCTTGTTAGCTTCTGGGCCTGTGGTGAGGCAGTGCATCATGGTAGAGGCACATGGAAGCACAAAGCTGCTCACCTTCTGGTCAGGAAGCAGAAGAGAGAAAGGAAGGGACCAGGATCCTGCAGTGTCTTTCAAGGAACCCCATCCCCCAGTGACCCAAAGACCCCTCTCTAGATGCCTCCCACCTTCCCTTTCTCCCTTTCCCAGCCCTTTCCCCTTTGACCTTAGCAGGGTTTGAACCAAGGCCTCGTGCTTGCTAGGCAAGCTCTCAATTGAGACATATCCTAGCCCTTTTTGCTTTAGTTATTTTTGAAATAGTGTCTTGTGATTTTGCCCAGGCTGGCTTGGACTGTGATCCTCCTACTTATGCCTCCTGCATAGCTGGGATGCTGGGTGTCTGCCACCATGCCAAGTTTTTTTTTTTTTTTCCCCGCTGAGTTGGGTCTTACCAATTTTTTGCCCATCTGGCTTAACTGTGATCCTCCCAATCTCTACCTCCCAAGTAGGCACCATCTCTTAAAGGTTCTACAGCTCACTGGAGCCATGCATTTAATACATTCAAGATCCACACTATAGCAGGTAATAATGTAAGGTAAATCAGCATCTAAAAATGCAAGTAATAATCAGAAGCTGATGAAGTTAGGAGTGTGTTAATTTTTTCTAAGTTTTTTATGTACTAATGGAAAAAGATATTTTTCAGGAGTTTTAAAAGCATTTAATCCTGTGTTTCATTTTGTATTATGTAAAAGTTGCTGGTCTTACTACAATATGGATTAGGGCATTAAGTTCCATTCTGGAAAATGTAGTGCTGAAAGTTTATGCTATGCTAAAGAGCATTTATTTGCTGCACTGGGGATCAAACCCAGGGCCTCCGACATGCTGGACAAGTGTTCTGCCACTAAACTACATACCTAGCCCCAAAGAACATTCTTCTATTTGAAGCTGATTTCTTACTTTTACTGTAGTTACTTGCTTTATCATTGGTTTTTCAAGTGCTTTTCATGGTTTGGACATGCAAGAAAAGTGAGAGCATTCATTTTTGAAGAAAAGTTAGGATATACACACATATGTATATTGCACAAGAGATGGAACCCAGGGCCTCTTTTATGGTAGGCAAGTACACTACCGCTGAACTATACCCCTTGCCCCCTAGGTAGCATACTGATGTGATAATTTTAGTAACTGTTTAATGAGGCAACAAATTTAGGAATAACATATGTTAACAGCTTAGAAAAATACCCAAAATGATAGAAAAAGATGAGGTCAAAGACATTTTTCTACCTTGTATCAGAATGTAACTCGTCTCTCTCATGCAGAAGTACACTAACTTTATGGTGTTTTCTTTGAACTCACATGCTTTGAGTCAATTATAAAGTTGACAAGATATAAAAATGAATTTTCAGTTGTATTATTTTCAGGCATGTGGAATATGGCTCAGTGATAATGTTTAGCAGATGCTATCTGCTTTTACTCTGATAAGTCAAAGTACTCAACAAAGGAAATAGTTAAGGTTTCAATAAAGTATTAACTTTTAGATATTTCTTTCAATGTCACATTTAAATTTGACTTTATAAGTGTTAGGTTTTAAAAATGTACTTTGTGTAGTACTGCCAGCGGCGAGGGATTGTGGTGATAGATAAGCCTTAATGGCTTTGTAGAATTTTAAACAGTGACTTGTAAAAAGTAATTTCTTTTGGCCTTTGATTGCATTGGTACTTTAAAAAAAAATGTACAGTTAAGACTGAGGTATTTTTCTTTTATTTTACTTTTAAGGAATATAATTAGGAATAAAAAAGCATTTAAAAAGTCTTAAGATGTTATTAAGGAACATATAAATAAATCTGAAGCAATCAAAGCATAGTTAGAATATATTTCTTAATTTGTTTAGCTTTGAAATTTTTTATAGGTTTGAGGTTAATCCTGCATTATAAGTATTATGTGACTCATAGAAATAATAGTTTTCAAAGTATTCTACTGGTTTTAGTTTGCAATTTTACAATGTCCTGGGTGTTTCAAATATACTAGTGGTCTAAATCTCTTTTACCATGTAAGACATCACATTAAAATGCTGGATTTACAAATTAATGGAATTTTGAACATTACCCCAAATTTATATAGTTTGTATTTGAGCTTAGATTGAGTTTTGACAAAAATACAAATATTCTGTCTACTATGTGCAGGTGGTGTGCCCCTCCCTCCATTATTGTAGCAATAAAAAATATCTTCGGGAATTGCCACATGTCCTCTGGGAGGCACCTGGTAGAGAACCATTGACTGTAAGAATACTGACAGTGTTTCATGCCTTCCATTGGGCAAGCGGTGTAGAGCTTACAAAGTACCGTCATGTATCTTTTCTAATATGATCTCTAATATAACCCTGTAATATAAAAATACAGATTTCATAATTCCTTTCTTTCTTTTTTTTGGTGGGATTAGGGTTTGAAATCAGGGCTTTGTACCTTTAAAGCAGCTGCTCTATTTCTTGAACCGTACCTTTAGTCCATTTTGCTCTGGTTATTTTGGAAATTGGGTCTCATGAACTTTTTGTCCAGGCTGGCCTCAAACCTCAATCTCAGCCTCCCAAGCAGTTAGGATTACAGGCCTGAGCCACTGCCATCCAGTTCATTGTTCCTTTTTTACAACTGAAGAGACCCAGGCTCCTTGAACTGAGTGACTTTTATGAATTACACTTATGGCACATTTCGGGTTAAAATTTTGGATTTCTGACCTGAGTCTAGTACCACTAATTTGTATCAGTCGTATTATATGACAGATTTCTCATCCTAAGCCACTATTTTATGATAAATAAAATCAGGATAACCATGATATCGACTAAGAGTTAAAAATATATTATTTTGAGGTTGGACATTTTTAGTACCTATGATGTATTTGACACTGAGCTAAGCCGTTTCTGTAGGTAACCAGATTCACTTGAGCTGCTCTGTTTTTCCTGTAAGCCAACCTCAGCACTTCATTGCATCTGGAAAAAAACTATAAAAATCCAAATTTAAAATCATTGCTGAGTAATGAGGAGACCTTTTGTTAAGAGACCAGTGTGTTCCATTACATAGTGTCTGTGTCCATTTTATGCTGTTGTAACT